TTAAGAACCTCCTATTTTGAGCGAGGCTCAGTTCTTTTTGGCTGCCCCAACCCGAGCACGTGTTCTTATTGGCCATGTTCTTATTTCGCCGTCCCATTCCAGCGAAATGTTCTTGTTCTTATTTCAACACCAATTGGCGCTGTTGGCGTACGTTGCTGTAGTGAACCTTGAGACGATCCTCTAAGTACTGAAGAGGCGTGCGCTCCTCCTCCTTCCAGAGGTCCGCGGCGTTGTCCTCGAGGATGCGCAGCCGGTTGACAGCATTGGCTTTGAACCTATATATAGTCGTATCGCCTGCGCTTGGGAGCTCCACGAGTTTCCTTGGTTTCGCGGTCCATAAAACCGTCGCTTTCCAAGTCTAGATCGAGAAAGCGCTTCCGCTGGAGGACAAACGAAGCCGCCCCCGTCGCATCATCGACCTTCACGTGCCAACAACGCCCAGGCCCGGCTTCTTCCCACGGCAGGACACGCCCTTCAGATTCTTCCGTAGCATCCGCCGCAGCCGCACCGATTGTCCGCTGTCAATCGAGAACGCGTTGCAGATGTTGCCGCCTAAAGTGCCTTTCGCAGCTCTCTCCCTGGCGTGCTTCCCTCGATCCACCTTCCTCCTCGCGGTACCCGCTGCAGCAGCAGGTGGGTGCTGAGAAGGTGCAGCAGCACCTCGTGCGCTGCTGGCATCTTGTTGGGATGACAAGGACAGGCGGGTGCTGCTGGTAATGCCCTGGATTTCACCATCAATCTGCGCGATTCACTCTCCTTCGTCGAAGATACCGTTCTGCTTCAACCCCCACGCGCTCTCGATGGCGTCCCACCGCTCCTTCGCAACGGAGTTTCCCGCCTTCACATGTGTTTTTATCGTCTCGAAGTGACGGTCAAGAATCAGACCCCGTCCTTTCAACTCTGCAAGTTTGCCAAGATCTTTCAACAACCCATGAGATAAAGGATTGGACAGGGACATGATCCCCTGTGTACGGCAGGCAACTCGTGGCCCGCTGCACGTGCCTGGCCTGGCAGCTGCCAAGGGGGCGCGGAAGTTTACAGTGCCCACCCTCTCCTCCGCAAAAATTGCAGATTTCGAGGTGTATGTATGCACCCACCTTCGGCACACCTACCCCCTGCGAAATCCAATACTTGGATCACCCCCCCGCCCGTCCCCCCCTCCCCGTTCGAATGTTCTTATCTCGCAGCTGCTGAATGTGCTCTTGTTCTTATCTTTAGCAGCAGTGGTACACCTCAGGCGTGCGTTCTTATTCTTAACTGCAGGTGCAATCTGAGCACGTGTTCTTACCGGCAAATTCTTAATTTTTGGGTTTTTTTAGCACCATATTCTTAAGTGCCATGTTCTTAAGTGCGGGCCTCAACTACTGTANGCTGTTCTTATCTTTAGCAGCAATGGTACACCTCGGCGTGCGTTCTTATTCTTAACTGCAGGTGCAATCTGAGCACGTGTTCCTACCGGCAAATTCTTAATTTTTGGGTTTTTTTAGCACCATATTCTTAAGTGCCATGTTCTTAAGTGCGGGCCTCAACTACTGTATCATCGGGAAGGATCTTCACGACTGCGGCACCCGCACTCGCGTCCACACTACTGACTGCCGGCGTGAACTAGCTTGCACGCACACAACCCACACTTCTTCCCAACAGCCGTGTGTCACTCATCAACGACCAACTCATCAAAACCAACCACCATCATGAACAACAACACCCCGAGCTGGCAAGGTGGTGGAGGGTATGCTGCGGGGGGTAGGTACGCAGCCGGCGGCTTCCAGACAGCGAGGTGGAACGGTCGTGAGGAACGAGAGCGAGGTGTTGGCAGTTGGTCCGAGCAGCAAGGACAGCAGCATTCGCAGCAGCAGCATTCGTCCCGTACTCCTACCGGCCGCGAGTGGAGCAGCAGCGGCGGAGTTGCCGGTGCGGGTGTGTATCATCAACATGCTTCGTACGTGGACATGTCAGGCGAGCGCGTGGCCGAAAGGTACCCGCCGCAAGCAGGACCAGCCCTCGAGTACGATATGCAGCAGCAACTCGGGGGCAGTCAAAGCGGAAATTTACTAGCAGGAGATAGTCTCGCAGAAGGCGCTGAGTTGCAGCCTCTAGCAACCCGGCAGCAGGCATCCCTCCCCGGATTCGGGGGTGGGCAGGCTGGTTCCAAGAGGACCGCAGTCAACTCGCTAGGATGCAGCGCTCCCACCCGCCGTGTGCAGGGACGGTTCGAACCTGGGGGGTCGGAGAATGTGCGTCCCTCTCGCGGCAGGGAGCGTCCTTCGGTAGCAGCTGAGAAGCCGGCGGCACCGTCCTCTCGCTCGGGCAACACGCTCGCTGCTACCACCTCTGGCCTCACGACTGACAGTCGCGACGGACTCAGTGAAGACGAGGGATTAGAGGATGGGACTGCCGCCGGCGATGGGGCTGGTGATGAAACCACAAGCGGTGGTGCTGCCCACAATGGAACGGAGCTGACAGGCCCGCAACTGGCTGACCTGTTGGAGTACGAAATGGAGCATGGGACCGAGGCCGCGACGGCGCTCCAGCAACAGGGCCAGTAAAACAAGAAGTGAAAAGCCATTTACCTACGCCGCCTTCTCGCCGCCATGGAGGGCGGTTTCTTGTACAAGACCAACGCGCAGGGCTTCAAGAAAGCCGACGCGATAGCCAAGGAAGCACTGCTGGAATTCGAGGAACTCGACGACTCCGAAAATACCGAGTTCGGAGGACATGTAACCACGAAGCTGCCCACCAAGACAACTTTCAAGAACTTCTTCTCCGGCACCAAACTGGCGTTTGTGAAGTGGCAGGGAGTAGTTCCAAGTAAGTACCGTTCTTGTCGAGTTGCTGACATACAGCAGTATATGCATCCGAGCAGCCACTGTTGGTGGGTCTGCGAACATTGCTGTTGGATACATGTGCTAGATGATTTTGTGTCACGCAGACTGGTAAGAT